TTTCACACCTGAGCCTCAACTCTCGCGGCCCGGTACCAAACGACTCACGGACCGGTACCGGCCCGAGGCCCGGGGGTTGGGGACCGCTGATCTAGAACACTGTGGTCAGAAATAGATAGACATGGTCAACAACATTCTTGGGTGGGCCGTGGGGTTTAAACGACAATCAGCTGATACTAAGGGGCACAAAGTGAGCCAGGAAAATATAAGAGACACATTTACAGCCACCTGAACCACTGCTACGACGCCGATGGATCCATTTATTGCCCAGTTTTGCTCAGCCCACAGCTGTTGCCATCCCGTTCAAGGTTCGATGTGTTCAGAGATGCTTTTGTACATACTTGGGTTGTAGCGAGCGGTGATTTGAATCACTGTTGTCTTCCTGAAGCAGTCTGACCTCCACTAACAACAAAGCCACTCACTGGATGTTTTCTTGTTTTGCAGACCAGTCTCTGTAAACTCTAGAAATGCTTGTGTGGGAAAATCCTATCAGGTCAGCAGATTCTGAAATGCTCAAATCAGCCCATCTGGCACTAACAATGACGCCACGTTCCAAGTCACACAAATGAACTTTCTTCCAAATTTTTATGCTCATGTTGAACTTGTGTTCAAAGTGTGTTAACAAGCAGCTCAACAGGTGTACCTAATGAAGTGGCTGGTGTGTGTCATTTATGGCCCAGTGCTCCTCTGCACCGTTTCCATGACAGTAAAAACAAATACACTGCATAACATAAATGTCTGTGATGATACATCAGCCGAAGGAATCGGAAGAGTTGAAGGTGAGAGCCTGGATTTGAAGCAAACACTTAAAGAACAGAAACAGTTTTGACTCGGGCCTGATGAAATCACTCAACAAGCTGCCAAAATGTTGAACTGACTGACCAAACACCAGAAACCACAGAAAGAATACCAGCTGATCAAAACTAACAAACAACAGAGCCGTTTTATTGGGTATAACAGACGCAAAACACTTAGTCTAGCTAGCAGAGGAGCAGACTCGTTCAGCAGCCTGATGCTGAATTCTCTTATATTCTGTCATCTGTATATTCAGAGAAATAGCACAAAAACTTGTGTCAGGGTGAAAATACAGCAGTACTTATTGCCAAGTATTTCAAGCAGGTACACAGTGTGTAGGTCTGTAGCTGTGAGACTCAGCGGTGCTTTGCAGCCTATTCCTTATCAAAGGATGTTTCTGCCCAGTATACAGGTTGAGTGGCTCACAGCAAACTCAGACATATCAGTGTATGTCAGAGAGACAAAGTGCTTCAAGTGCAAAGAATGAACGTACTAAATCAGTCTGTGGGATTGCTTAAATGTGACTGTAGTGTGCGGCATGTTAAAGGCCTGTGAGAGCAGGAAAGCACTGGCTCTGCCCTGGTTCATATGTGTTTAAATGAGTTCTCCAGCTATAGTCAGATATTCCATGAGTTAAGGCTCTGTTACAAACAGGCCAATCACAGCACTGAAGCAGACGCTGTCCCAACTCTGAACTCTCCAAACGTAGCTATCCTCTTTGCCTCCTGGCATCAACATGTAACAGTATACCTTTACCATTAAAACTGAGCACGTAGGAAAATCGGACTCCGAGTCAAGAGCAGGTTGTACAGTTTCCTTTTCTTAGAAATGACAGTGAGATGAGCTGCTGTTCAGTGTGCTGATGGTGGCGAAATTAAAGCACAAATAAATCCTTCTCTCTGACTCACTCCTACACACCGAGGATTTCTCACCGAGCTGTGAAGTCCTGTTAAACTGCACTACTGTGGAATGACTCTGACTCACTAGGCTACATCACACAGTTCTCTTGTAAACAGGCTCATTTTTGTTACTCAGATCAGGTCTGTGTCTGAAACAAACCCAGCCAGTGGTGCTGCGCTTTTTTCCCCTCTCATCTTTTTTAATTCAGATCTTTCACCGAAACCTAAAATAACACCTCGCTACTTATGTTCAACACGCTCGAGTGAAGTGTACTTGTGTAAACTACATTATTCCACAGCCCTTATAAAGTTGTTGTTGTTGATACTTGATCCATCATTATATGTAAGGAATGGACTTTCTTACTGTCTCTGCAAAGAAACAGGTGGAAGGAATCTGTCAACTCTGGGTTGTGAGCATTGGAATACACTCCCAGCAACAAGAAGCTCCTGTCTCATTGTTCCTTTGCCAGCTATCTATCAAAAATTAAGGTCCTCACAACAAATATTTGCTTTGAAGCTGTACTTCCACGTACGTTTGCATGTTTTTATAAATCACTGTCACTAACGTTCATAAAAAGTCAATGTACCACGAGTTTTGAAACAACTGATTTCAAACATTATTCATAAAAGTGCTTTCTATCAAACATTCTCCCAAGGTCCAGTGTCTTACCCAAGGACACTTTGGCAGACTGGGATCAAACTACCAACCTTGGGATTAGCAGATGAGCTACAACCACCCTTAATATTTGAAATTTTAGTGTGAAGAGCAACACATGATCAGGATCACAAAGTGTTTGTTTGGATGAGGGTAATTCTCCAGGAAATGTTGATGCAATGTCCTCTTGGCTGTTATATCGTCGGGTTTCACTTCCTTTGTATCACAATGTGAACTGTTTAAAGACACAATGTTGCACGTTGTAACAAGTTGCATCCTGTCTGAGACTGTTTCTGTTTCTCTCAGTCTCCCAACATTTCATAGCAACAGTAGTCATGCCCCACACAGTAAGACTGTTAACATTCCAGCTTATGACATTTGTCCTCTGAGATTGCCAGCTGGATTTAGGCTAAACATACACTTCCTGTTTTATCTGAGCAGAATATTAATTTTACTTGTTACAAACTCTGCTGAATGACACTCCTAACCTAAACCAGAGCAGATTGGGCATAAAAACATTTAAATAACATGGCTTTAGATTTGGAAAATCCCTAAATGGCAGAAAAGAGTCATTATTTTTGTATTTGGGTGAAACAGAATAGATAGTGTAAATGATCCATAAACAGCAGTAGTTATTTTTAACTGAATATGTGACCGTGGCGTTCAGAGGGCTCTGTGCAGGAATCAGCATTATTGGGTTTCCTAAGAAGAGGCTCTGTGATCACCAGAGTTTTCCATGATATTAGTACAGCTTCACACTGGGAACCTGATCAAACCAAGCCAACAGTTCAGACTTTGACTATATGCTCAAAATCACAACTTTGTTGTGATTCTTCTCAGAGGAATTTGTTAGAGAAGTGCAGTGTATCGCGTGCAGGAACCTGTGTGGGACTGCCTTTACAGAACAGCACCACTGATTCAAACCACAACTGAGAGAAGTTTGCGGTGAACATGCGAGCAAGAAGACAAACACGTGTCAGGACCCAGCCTTTTGCAGGTCTTTATGAAAGAGTAGCAGTACAACACTGCGGTGGTAAAGGAGGAGAATGGCAGTACGAACTGTTTGCTGATGTGTTCAGCAACATTCAGGAGACCATTCTTCCAAAAGCTTTGGGACAGCTACACCCTTCATCTTTAAACAGCGTCTGCATGAACCGCTGAGCAATGGCACTGCTCCCAACATACTACGAATGACCGTCACCAACATGTCATATTTACACAACTGTAAAGGAAAGTACCAGTGCAGTCGAGTCAGTGCAGGGTGTGTCAGCGGGCTGCTGGAGACCACAGCCACACACTGCTTTTAGCAAGGACCCACCACCCAACAAGCCACTGGATTGTTGTCTGTCCCACACACAGAGGGTCGTCTTCTCTCCTGCAGGCCCCAACTGAAAGGCATTTCATCATGTCCACTGTTAAACTGATGGCTGACTGAGAAACGGGGGCGCAAACAAGCTTTTCCACAGCCCAGACAGGATGGCAGCTTTAACACGCGCAATAGACACACTTACTTTCCGCTCACGCTCAGGAAAACCTGCAGTGCATGCAGCAGTTCGGTTACCTAATGTGAACTGGTGTTTTCCACATCAGCGCCTTGGAGAAAAGCTCGTGCTCGTGCACGCGCACGCGCAGCAGTGACACTTTTGAGCCAAACTCCGGAGCAGAGAGCTGTGTGACACGCAGGGCTGAGAGTTTCTGTGAACACCTCTGAACTATAAACGCAGTGTGGAAATGTGTCGGCCTGTACGACTTCTGTCAAACTTGTGGAGAGTTTTGACTCCCTGGCGAACTCCCAGTGCGTCACGGAGCCGAGCCCGGACGAGCCGAGAGCCGCTGTGCTGGCATCAGTGCAGCTGCTTCTCTTTCAGCTTACCTGTTAAGAGGCCGGAGGGCAGCAGAAGGCAGTAGAAGAGCCAGACAACCACCTGAAGATCCATGGCAGAGCACGTCAACGCCGCGCACACGGCACGAAGGCTGGCTCGATGTCAGACGCACTCCATTTGGTCTAAGGTGGCCGATCGCTGTCCGGGCCGTTACTCCGTAACGTGAACACTCACACTGAAGCTCCGCTTCGCGCTGAGCCGAGGGAGGGGGTCTTCTGTAGGGAAAGCTGGAGGCCGGGCTGAGGCGGCTCCGCGGCACATGGAAAAAGTGATTCACGGGCGGTCCGTGTGAGGGGCGTTCATACTGCAGCTGCTCACAGTCGCCTCCCTCTCTCGCAGTCTGACTGCGCGTTAAAGTTCGTGCAGAGCGCTCACAGCACTCAGTCCTTCTTCTAATGACCCTTTCACACTCTCCCGTGTCAGTCAGTACTTGGGGGTACCTGAGGCCGCTCCTCACGTCAAGTTTGGCAAAATTCGTATAATAACGCGGTCAGGTAGCGCCCCTCTGCGTACGCAGGGTGACGCAGCACCGGCGTGGAGAGGTCACCGCGTTGATCCTGATGTGATGACTTAGAAAAACGATATTAATTGAAATAAACTCGTGGCGCTCAGCAGCCACTCCTGACTGCAAAGCAGTGAAATTACGACTTGTTCTCTCCAGATGTTTCCACATTACAGAACTCCAGATATCAGCTGATTTTTCACAGGTTTCAGTTACAAAGTCAACAAAAGTTTGGATTTGATAAATCTGTGGCTGTGGCTCAGTGTCCGCATTGAGCCACAGCCACAGATTTATCTTCCAGCTTCCGGCTGCAAATCACAGAGGAGATCAATGGCGCACAGTCCACTCAGTCATCCTGTGGCTGAGTGGCTGCTGTGGACCATTCAAAGCTCACTGCTCATCAGCGTGCTAAACCTTGGGGGGTCTCTCTGTCTAAATAAATAAATAAATTACGCCCCTGTCGACACACAGTGACGTGGTTGTGATCTAGTGTTATTCTGCCCCCCCCCCCCCAAAAAAAAACAAAAAACAACAACAACAACTTTATTAAGCAACAGTATACAGAGAATGTATTTGAACATGATCAACACATGCCAGGGGGTGCATATAAAAAGTTACATAGCCTACATTCAAATAATTTGTAATTAGTACAAATAGTAATTGTTTTTATAGCCTTGTTATTAAGTGATCCACTAAGCAGTTATCAGTATAGCTGTGTTTAAAATGAGGCTTTTGGCTACTGTATTTGCATTTCTGGAAATAACATTTAGCTAAGATAGCTAACAGATTTATTATAAAGTATACATCTTCCGTTTTGCCTTTGAAAGAAACAAATACAACATTTTCCCATTTCAAAGTAAAGACAAAATGTTCTAGCACGTGACCCAGAAGTCTCAGGATAGCTTTCACATTCATGTCCCTTTTGAACTTTGTCATGATTAACTGCATAATATTTAGCACGAATATTCTCGTTACCTTTACTGTGCTTTGTTAGACAGATTCTCCCTTTGTGTGAACCCACAAGGTTGGGTGGACCGGTGTTATTTGTGTGTGTCCGCAGAGGAGGAGCTGTCACTGAAACACGCAGCAAACTATCGGGAAGGTGGCGTGATTTGAACGTGATCACCTGCTGTAACCATGGTGATTAGACAGGTAAAGTTACACTTTCACAAACAGACACTGGACATGTTGATCCACAGCACCGCTCAAAGCCCGTGTGTAGCGTGTGGAAAACTTTTACACAGAAGAAGAACACGCCCGCCCACGGTCTGCTCCAGTCCTGGTTTACCCTCCGACCAAGAGGACCGGGGGAGGCGTGGCTTTATTCATTTCGCGCGAAAATTTGTTTCTTCTTCCTGTGCAGTGTGCGCACTTCCGGAGAACGTTTGCAGACGGCGTCTGTGTGCTGGGGCTCTGCTCGTCCTCGTTTTGTTTTCGTGTTCGCTTGTGAGGCCAGCGGCATGTCTCAGGCTCGGGTTACCGACTTCTACTCCCGGACGAAGAAAGCCACTGGCGGCCCAACGAAGCCGGCAGAGCCACGCAGCGCCTTCTCGTGTTCGTCGACAGTTCATGAAGAGTTTCTCCGTGTAATCGACGAGGCCGCGGGGCTGAACCATGGCGCGGAGCAACCCCTCTCCAGCCCCCGCACCCCCAAGCGGGGCTCTGCTGACCTCGGAGCGACCGTGTCCGCCGCAGCCGTCGAGCACAGCACCGCCAAGAAGAGGCGGCAGGCGGATCTCGGAGCACCGGCAGCCGCTGCAGGAGCAGAGAGGCCGGCGAGGCGGTCTGCCAGGAAGAAACTGGAGCTGCCCGCAGACACGGCACAGGTAACAGACGTGTGCATGTACACACAGACCCACAGGCTTTGTCCTGCCTTCACGCTGTAGTTGCAGGCTTTGTGTACTCTTCGTCATGCTCACAGATCTTTGTAGTGTCTGGATATTTGCTCCTCTGGACTGATCTGGCTTTAAATCTGAATCTCACGAGGTTTCTCAGCTGAATAAATGAGATGTTTCTATGCCGTTTCTCAGAGACGGAACTTGTGATTTAATATCATTCCTGAGAGGGTTCAGTCTCAGCAGTTTGAATAAGTCGATCGGTGTTCATACTGGAACAATGAGAGCAGCCTGATCATATCTGAAACACGCCTCTCTTTAACAAAGGTTGCTGAGTGTGAGAGAGAAACACTCATGATGGCTAATCTGCATGTGGGGGGCAGGGCTGCACACATGACCTCTGGTGTGTTTTGGTCGCAGCTGAGAGTAGGGCTGCTCGATTATGGCAAAAATGATAATCACCATTATTTTCACTGAAAGCTCAGATCGTGGTTAAAATTCGATTAATTGAGCAGCCCTAGCTGACGGCACCTTTTTCCATTTCTGGCAGGTCCTGGGTAAAGAGGACATCGCTGCTCTCAAGTCACGCCTTCTGAGGATTAAGAAGCGTGTAGATGAGATCCCTGCCACTGCGTCCTCAGCTACACCCTCTCCATCTTTAGTGCCTGACAGTAGCTCCCCTGCTGTTCCTGAAACCATCATTTCGGCCTCTGCTGAAGCTAAGACCCTGAAGCTCTCTGTAGCTCGGGCCAAAGAGCTTGCAGCTCAAGCTCAGAAGAGGAAGGAAGCAAAAGCAGCAGCGGAGCATGAGCTGACTGAGACCCGTGCTCAGGACAGGTGAGCACTTGCACATGTGCGCAGAGCTAAGTGAGAGTAAGCTGCATTTCCCCAAAGATGAGCTTTTGTTTAGTCCATGTTAAAGTGAATGTCCTCCCTTGTGTGTCCAGCACCGAGCAGCCAGCGTATCAGCGGTACCACACTCTTGCTCAAGATGCCCCCCCAGGCCTCTCGCTCCCCTACCATTACAAGGTGCTGGCTGAAATGTTCAGAAGCATGGACACTGTGGTCGCCATGTTGTACAACCGCTGCGAGACCGCGACCTTCCCCAAGATCAAACGGGGAGTTCAGGACATGATGCACAAGTAAGTGTTCGGTTAGTCGGATGAGTTCGTGAGACAAAAGCTGAGAATGTGTGGGAAAGTGGAATGTGTCAGCAGTCCTGTTGTTTGTGCTAGAAAGGTTCCAGCTGTCAGCAGCTTCGTGTGTTTTTAAGCTAAGGCTCGCTGGACCTGTGGCTCGCTGCTAAAGATAATAACGGACTTCTTTCCTCTTTGAGGCGCTTTGAAGAGAGCCACGTGGGTCAGATAAAGACGGTGTTTCCTGAGGCCTACACGTTCCGGCAGGAGAAACACATCCAAGCTTTCAACAGCAGCATTAAGAAGGGAAGCTACCAGCTGACCGTGGACCCCATCATCGGTTAGAGCGCACGTCACCTTCAGCTCAGCCAACCACTTTTCTCCAAATACCATATTTGTAAACTGTCCCTCAGTACATGGCTTTGATTTGGGTGTTTGGGGTTGTTCTCCTCAGAAAATGGCGAGGCTCGACCTGTGCTGTCAGCCTCTCGTCTCCTGGAGAGAAGACGCGTGTTCCATAACAGCCTGCTTTCCATTGTCAAACAGCACCACAAGGTCAGCTGCTCTAGTTTGGGTTCACTCATTTTTTAATAAGTCACACAGCAGTTACTTTTTTGTTGTCGTCTCAAACTTTTGCCTAAATCTCCTTTTTTCCCTGCAGGTTTTCCTGTCCTCGTTGGATCCCCCAGTGTTGGTTCCAGAAGACAAACTGACCCGCTGGCATCCTCGCTTTAATGTGGACTCTGTGCCAGCCGTCCATACGAGCGCACTGCCTCAGACTCCTCGCCCGGAGAAACTGGCCACAGCTCAGGAGGTGCTCGACAAGGCCCGCTCACTCATCACACCGAAGGTGCTGCAGCAGCGTCGCCGCTCTCACGCTTCTGCGTAAACGATGAGCTTACTGTAGTCTGAGATTAATATCTGTTAGGTGATAGCACTCTGAATTTCAGGTGTTGTTTACACACATTTGTGGCGTTGTCTCAAAAGATTGAAGGTCACATGGGCAGTAATCGCTCCAGTGAAGGGCTGTCAGTTCAACACTTGACCTCGATCACAAACAGCTGTGTCATACTCTGTAGCACTTTCCCCTCTCAGTTAATCACGTAGCCCCTCCTGAGTCTGCCACCAGACCAGCGTCACGTGTTTTGTGTTGTTACTTGTAAACTCGCATCACCTCCTACTGTTCATGAGGGTGAAGGACAGAAGGAACAAGTTTAATCAAAGCCGTCTGCGTGAACATGCTGACTGACAGCTTACCGCCATCGATCCCTTTGGAGCGACGCAGCTCCTAATTCAGCATTTTTCTCAGTTGTATGTTCAGTTCCAGGAAACGGGTGAGCACTACTTAGTAACAGTGGGTGTAGTCACAAGAACGTCTTACTGTTAGGAGGCTGAGTCGTTTTGACCAGCACGTGTGCTCCATCCAACATGTAGGACTGCTTTCTTTGGGTGACGGGGGCTAGAGAGAGAGCGTAGTTGGATATTTGGAAATCCAAAATCATATTCTTGTATATTTGTGCCCCATCATATTTTAATGATGTCAGTCTGCCCCAGGGCAGCTGTGGCTACAACTGCAGCTGCCTCCACCAGTGTGTGAATGTGAGAGTGAATGAATAGTGGCATTGTACAGCGCTTTATAAAATGCAATCATTATTGTAGTACCATATCACCCTATTAGAGCACTTCGCTCTTGCTCTGCAGGCCTACTTGTTGTTCCTAGAGTATTTAAAAGTAGAATGGGAGGCAGAGCCTTCAGTTTTCAGGCCCCTCTTCTGTGGAACCAGCTTCCAGTTTGGATTCAGGAGACAGACACTATCTCTACTTTCAAGATTAGGCTTCAAACTTTCCTTTTGCTAAAGCATATAGTTAGGGCTGGACCAGGTGACCCTGAATCCTCCCTTAGTTATGCTGCAATAGACGTAGGCTGCCGGGGGTTGTCATGATGCTCTTTAACAGAACTTTATATTAGTATAATTACTGTAACGCTAAATGTGTTGGCTTTTTGTGTGTGTTCAGATGGAGAAGGCTCTGATTGGGCTGGCTCTGAAGACAGAAGACAAAGCTGCTCACAAAGAGCCAACATCCCAGGAGAACCCCACAGTCCCCCAAACATCAGCTGTCCCAAATGCCCTGAAAGGGGTGTCCCAGTCTCTGCTGGACCGGGTAGGTAGACCGGGCACACAGTTCTTCAGGGGGGTCGACCACAGCGCTGTTGGAGCTTCTTTAAGATGTGATTTTTGTCTCTAACAGCAAACACATCTTTATAGTTTACTTTGCTTTCTCCTCAGATTCGGGCAAAGGAGGCACAGAAGCTCCAGGCAGTCATGACTCGTAACAGCAAGCAGGAGGAGCGCCTGTTAATGATGTCACGACTTGGGGAGCTGGCACGGATTCTCCGCAGTGTGTTTGTTGCAGAGAAGAAACCGGCTTTAACGATGGAGGTGGCGTGTAACCGGATGGTGGCAAGCTACAGATCTTCTCTGAGCACAGGTTGGTTCACGAAACAAGAACAATGTGGTGCTTGTGCTGAGATCTCCCTCCACACAGGGTTTCTGTTTGTAACTGTTAGAAATGTAGCAGAAAACTGAACCAGGTAGAGCCGCATTCACTAGGTAGAAGCTGACCGGCTGATCCTTTGTAATCAACAGGTGAAATGGAGAAACACATCCATCTGCTGGCAGAAGTGGCTGGTGATTGGCTGACTCTTCACACAGTGAGGAAGGACTTGTACCTGAAGCTGAATAAGAACATGGAGCTCAGCACTGTGACGGACACGGTGAACAGCAGACTCCGAGAGGAGGAGACTCTGATCTGACCTTTAACGTGACCACCTCGCAGTATTTTTAGCACGTTTCAGTGGTTGTCCGCAGGTTTTGGCACGTTCGTCTGGTTTGGATAATACATGGATGGAGTTGAAGGAGTCCTCCTGACATGCTTGTGCTGAGTTGTTCGAAACACTGATCCAATTTTGTTTTTCCTTCTATCCAAAGTGTAACACGGATGTACTGACTTTGTTATTAGGAACACTTTTCTATGCAGTAAACTATTTTGTATTTTAGATTCAGAGTCACTGTTTGATGATAATGTTCAAGAAACACAGTGAAGCGCTGCACCCAGCTTTGTGCTGTCACGAATGGTGGATTGGTCATGAGGGGATCTTAAACAGCTCAGCAGGGTGCTGTGGGTGTTTGATGTTCTCATTACTGATGCAGAAAACGGGTCCATTCGAACAGCTGCAGGCTGATGTAACTCATCAGTAAAGGTAACGATTGACTTTGCTGTGACCAAACCGGAGTTTCAGCTCGTGTTCGGCTCGTTCTGGTTTGATGTGTAAGCAGACCTGCTCCATGACAGCTGCTGTGCTCTACAACGACACTCACCCTCAAACAAAGCACAGCTGGCTGCAGCTGGAAGACTTGCACACAAAGACCATTTAAGCTGCACACTTGATTCTAAACCAGTATTAAGCTTGTCTCACGGCTTTAAATGTTCCAGCATAGACCGTGATGATCATTTAGTCATCAGTGATAACCAGTGTTTGTTTTTAGATGTTACATGATTGGACTGACACAGATGTGTTGTACACTTTATTGCAAAGTTACACCCAGTAAAGCTGGTTTTGGTCATTTCCAGTGGAACGTTTCTTTTTTCAGTCATTACATTGATGGAGGCTGCTGCGTGTTCATGTGCTGCATCTTTTGTATTCTTAGTCATTTCAGTCTCATCTGCACTCCCTGTTATTTCCATCACAGTTGTTCATGTTTCGTGACGAGCAGCTGCCTTCCAGTGGCAGAGTCGTCACGCCTGAACATGAACCCAGACAGGGTCAAACTCACCCTGCCTTCTGAGCCGAGGGAAAGTAAACTTGGATGCTGCTCAGACACTGGACGCACTGTACTTCCAGTAACATCCCATTAAAATAACGGGGCGCAGCTACACCCTGTAAACAAAATTACTGTAAAATTAAGAGATTTCTTGTCCGGGTCGAGTGTCCTCAGTACTGAAGCAGGGAGAAGACTCTGTGTGGTTTGAGTTTGTCGATGCCGTTTAGCTCTTTGAGCTCGATGACCACCATGCAGCCCAGAACCTCAGCCTGCTGTTTCCTCATCAGCTCGGCGGCAGCATGCAGCGTCCCTGCAATACACACATGTCAAAGTCTTAAAGGCAGACTTCCTAAGAGAAATCAGTCCAAAGAAAGTCACGCATCCCACCGATTCTCCTAACAGCCCAATCCGCTTTGTTTCCCTCTACACCGAGTTTTTATTGAAGTAGGGGGACCCAAGACGACAGTGCAAAGCAGGATTTGGGCTTGTCAGGTAACTTTTCTTTCAGTCTTCCAGAAAACAGGGAGAGCTCTCAGACCTCATTACCTCGACGTTCTGTGATATGGATCAATATGACCCAAAACAGCAACTGTTAGTACTTGTGGACCGATGCAGAGTAAGCCTGTGTTTGAATTACAGCCCTGCTGCTGCAGCTGAAAGAAAGCTTAAAGGTGTCTCGCGCACAACAACATTCGCTTCAAGCTGAGCTGAAAGCCTGGGTTGACTTTAGCCTAACTTATGGTCCTGTTCACGTTATGCGTCTCAGAGGGGTTTCACAGACAGACCTCCAAAATGTAACTGCCCCTCGCTGGACGTGCACGACTCTATGGGCCAAAACAGGGGAGGAGGCAACAGCCGAGTTCACCAGGAGAAGAGTGAAGGAAAATCATCACAGATTAAACAAAGTATGAAAAGTAAGACGAGTAGTGCGCATCACTGCCCAGACAGGACGATGCTGTTCTAGTCAACTTTTCCATTTCAAGACAGGAAAGCTGCCATTAATTAAAAGAGTCAAACCAGAGTCACAACATGAGACTGGGGGAAAAAGATTCTAGTAATATTAATGCTGTGTGTCAGCCGCGAGCGAGCTGTGCAGCTTCTTTCATAAACCATAAGAAACGACCGCTACGCATCAGAGCTGCCGTCTGTCACGAAGGTTGTTTCTGCGAACGCTGAATCCATAATGTTACACGGATTATCTAATGTTGAAGTAAAAGCAGAAGTGCCAGTAAGGGGAAATATTCAGCAACATAACTTGTATTCATGTCTCAGTGGGACTGAATCACATCTAAACTGGGCAATTTCTCACCTCCAGTAGCCAGGAGGTCATCGACGAGCAGGACCCTTTGTCCTGGCGCCACAGCATCCTCCTGGATCTCTGCTTCTGCCTGGAGGAACAGAGGAAATACCATTTTTAATGAGATCTGAATGTGGTCAAGCTCAACGATGCAACAGAGACTAAACTTCTTATCTCAAGTAACAGTAAAAGGAGAAACGGAGTTTCTTGTAAACCTCGACTCATTTCTGCATCATGATAGCTAGCAGTGGGTTTTCTGTCTCTGAATCTCTGAGCTGCTGTGCAGACACGTCACAAACAAAAACACGAATATGACAGCAAGCTGCAGTGCACGTATTTGTGATTAGCACTACAGGACCTAAAGGATGCACTTCAACTGGATCTAATTTTCCACTTCAACAGGTGAAAACAAGCTGACATTGTCTTAGTATACTGTTTGTTTGTTATGTAACAAACACCACAAACCCTCCCATCCTGGGTTTGTGGTGCTGGATCCTTCCTATAGGACGCAGCGCTTACAGCAGGCCAGTAAGGCTGAAGGTGTGTCTAAGATATTGCTGCCTTGTCTGCAGAATAGGATCATAGTGTCTACACTTCCATAAGTGTCTCTGTATACGGCTTGTGGAAGGGATGCGTTCAACTGCCCCATGGAAAAGTCGAGCAGTGAAATGTCCAAAAATACATATTTCCTCCACTTTTATGAGGATTGTCCTTAGTACCTCATCTCTAACAGTTTCATCCTGCCCGCCCTCCAAACACACAAACCTTTCAGAGTGTGTCCTTGTGTTCTTTACCTTGCCATACTCCAGATCATAAGAGACAGAAACAGTGGCTCCGGGCAGTTTGCCTTTCTTTCTGACCAGGACGAAGCCAACACCTAGCCTCTGGGCGAGCAGAGGCCCAAACAGGAAACCACGAGCATCTAAACCTGCCACACACAAACAGCAATAATGAGGTGGGAGGAGCAACATTTACATTAAAAGGACACAATAACATCAAACCTGCCCGAACCAAACCAGAGACGTTATCAGATGATGACTGTGATTGAATGATTAGAATTCTATAGAAACAGCAGTAAACTGCAGCACTGTTGCAGATAAGATTATTTAATCCTCTGTGAGTGATTGTGTGTCTGAGCGTGCTCAGGGTTGCTGTTTGCTACTAAAGTGACGGCTGCACATGGATGCATGGAAGCAGTAAAGCTCACGGTCCCACCGCCTGATAAAGGAGTTCAGTGTGTAACAGATATTCTTGTACTCTAGCAGCTGCACTTCCAACAGACTAAAAGAGACTCGGCAGCAGCTTAAGGATCAAACACAACATTTTCTACATCACAAATAATCCTGTGATAATGCAAGTTTGTGATGGTTTAATTACAGCACTGCTTAACTCACACATGTTGCACAATAAAGAGTCAATGTAAATATTGTCTTTCCAGGCAATTTTAAACCTAAACTGAACACAGCCAACTTCAGCATGAGTTACCATGGTAACTTAACCAGATAAAAAGAGAGCCACTTTCACTTATTCACTGTGTGCTGTTGACTGTTACACGGACCTGACTGGCTTAAGAACGTAAATAAACTAAGGATCAAGCAGGTACAGGCCGGCTTCCTGCCAGTCTCAACTTTCACTTTGATCAGCTGTTGTTGAGGAGCTGGGTCCAGGGCGGCCTCATGTTTGACGTTGTAAGACAGCTTACACTAAGAACAAGTGATGGAAAAATATTGAACAGAAGTATCTGATGGAGTGTACATGCTTTACCACTACACTCACAGGAGTTAACACACAATATCTCACACAGCTGCACAAATAAAGTGGACTTTCCGAACACCAAGCATGCGATACAGCTGGCTGAGAGGATGTTTAAGGTGTGTTAAAGACACCTTTAAAAAGGTGGAGCACAGCAGTTTCAGAGCTCTGCTTTTGTTTTTCTTACCTACAATCAGATCCACGTGCTGGTACATGTTCCTCACGTGTTCTTCAAACAGGTCAATTACTGCTTTAAGGGCAGCTGCATCCTTGAGGATGGGACAAATATCTCTGCAAGATTCAGACACAACAGTTTGTAGCATTTACAGCCTGGCAGATACAGGGCTTTTAAGACTCATGCTATTGTTTGGTGGCTTAAAAGTCAGATATAACTGCTGATCTTTTTCTGAGGGAAGCCACCCTCTGATAGACAAACAATGCAACATGAGCACAGGAGGAACACCCTGAAACCATGCTGAAGGGTTTTCTCCTGTGTCTCCATTTATCAGCTGTTATAAATCCCAATACTGATATATCAGCAAATTCCTATGATCAGCTGATACTGGGAGTAGCTGTGGCTCAGCAGGAATAGTGGTTCGTCTACTTACTGGGGGGATTGGACCTCCAGGTAAAGGGTCAGGCTTAAATAGTAACCAGTCCTTTTGGATACACATCAGAATTATAACATACATTTCCACAGAGAGATTTCATTTCCTAGAGATGCAAAGTGTTGATTTCTGATCTATATTTGACATTGGAGTGACAAAACCCAGCCTTTGACTTGTAGGTGGCATAGTTATAATGCACAGTACTAACTGAACAAATACTGCATGTTATTTGAACTGAACCAGCCTGTAGCTGGATGTTGTAGTGTCACTGGGCTCTGTGTTGGGCGGACTACTTTTTACATGCTACCTGTAGGAAGTACTATTAGAAAACACTGTATGCATTTTCACTGCTGGAAGGCTGACACCCGATTATATTACTGTAACAGATCAACAGTTTCTGTGTCTGCAACATTCAGAGCTGAGTGGCAATTTTCATGCACAGTCATCAAAGTGTTGCAAGAAAATATTGCCACCGTCAAGAACTACTAACAGCCTGAAGGTTAAACGTTGTTTCATATTCATTTGCGTGATGTATTCCTTATTAAACAGCTCATCGTCATGTTCAAAGACCTCTGAGCAGTTCTCTGACTACAGTGAAGGCTTTCAGTGCTTTGAGCCATTGCGGCATCCTGACAGCAAGATTTCAAAGGGATTTTATTTTGAAATACACACTGATATTGACCTCATACTCAGCGGGTCACGGAGGCTGTTCACTGTCTGAAGCTCAGGCTGTGGAAACAATCGTAGGTCATAGATGAGCTTGCGGGAGGCTTTACTTTCGTCAAAACCAGACTGAGCTGGTATCGATGACAGACTACATGACATGTGCTTTACCTTGAAGAGCCCCGCCCTCCCTCTGCACTGCACTGCACGACACACACACGCACACACACACACACACACACACACACACACACACACACACACTATTCGGCTGTTCCTAAGTGCTCACTGCGGGGCCAAAGTGTGCTTCCTGGTAGCGGGGGTCTGACACGTGCCCTTGCACCTGGTTACAGCTCTCAGAGACCCGTTTCTATTCGCGGTAGACCAGTGGAGAGACCTTACGTTTGCTGGGCCGTTCAAACAAGAACGCAGTGTCTTACCTGAACAGGATCCCTTTCTTGGGAAAGTCTGGGAAAGCGCGGACGTGTCTCTGGACCAGCTGCAGCTTTGCCTCCCAACCTGCGGCCATGCTGAACGCTACTTCTTCTTCTTCTCCTCCTCCTGCGGTGTGCAAACACTCCTTTGTCGCCCTCTTGTGCGGACGGGGATGCACAGTACAGCAGTGCAATTCATCCTGATCGGTGATTGGTCGAAAGTCTAGAGTGAAAGAACAGGCTTGTGATTGGTGAAAAATGTGCAACGAAGAAGCCTTCTTTTATTCACTCAGTTTGTTGTCTGATTTTTCTTTGTCAGGTGATGTTTCCAGCTCCTTTATCCCACCTGACGCCTGGACTGCTGTCTGTGGTCTTCAGCACGATCACAATGAGTTATTTATGTATTCTGACTGGTTTACAATGACAGGACAGTAAGCATTACTAGTGTATTTTCCAATAAAAGCATCTCGTTTTTACTCCAACATCGATGAGGATTTTCTTTTGGCTCTTTTGAACCAACAGGTTGGAAAGTCTCCTGAAATTAAGCGCAATTGAAAATCAATTCCTTTCTTTTCTTCTGTGATTATCATGTGCAAAGACTAGCCATAAGAGGAGTCTTTTAGGTTCTCCTGATGAGACAATGTAACTGTTTTACTTTTGTACTGGTAAAAGCTGAAGGATTATTCATGACACTGTCATTTACAGACAGACATGTTAGAGTTCACTTGCCAAAGGTAAAAGAGTTGTAAAATCATTACAAACTTGCTATGAGAGATTGTTTGTCCTGTGACAAATAGACTGAATAGTTGATTATGAAAATGGCGTGATCATACACCATGGCCTTCACAGTCAACCAAGACTATCTGGGGAAATTTGACTCACATAACAGATAATAGCTCTGTTAGTGTTTCCTAATCAATTCCAGGAAACGCTGAAGTTGTTGCGGAGGCATGTGTTGTACAAATACTTCCAAAACTTGTCTTTGCCTGCATGTACACATTGCTTCGTTGGTTCAGGTCTGTTATGTGTTTCTAGACCTATTGGCAGAAAATAACTTAATAATAAAAAAATACAAAACACGTGTCTAAGGCAGATTAAAGCCCAACTTAGGCATTCATTAAGTAAATCCACAACTCACTGTTACTGTAACACAGGACACTTTATTAAAGGTGATGAATACAGGAAAACAGCACTGCAGGAGAGTCAATCAGTGAACTGAACTACAAAAAGTCAAAAGTGCCCATCCTGGAATCATACATGTTTAAAGGAAGTTTACAACGACAATAGCCAAACACGGGTAAATGTGTAGTAAATGGCAGTGCGGTAAATCTGCCTAGTATGGCATTAAATACGCTTACTACTTCATATATCTCAGATCGTTTGTAACGAGCCACGGAAAGCAGGTGTAGCCACTGAAAAGACGAGAAAAGGGCGGCTAGCGCGCGGCTAACATTTACCACAAAGCAAAAGGGTTAAACGCGCTGTTCAGCGTCGTTTCCGCTAAATCCAGACTCTGTAACTTGACGTAAACATAGAAGAAATGCCAGTTTCCATTAAAAAAATAGCGGACTTGCCGGCTTCTTCGCTCTTCCGCTTCGTGTTGTTGTTGTTTTGGTGACGAGCAGACGATTGGTCGTCTACAGTGGGATTCGGCGCTCCTATTGGCCCGAGTCTACAGTGTCTACGCTCCGGGCCAATGAAACGATTAACAGCTAGCTCTTTTATCGGACAATAAATTACACAGTTACCCTCCATAGCTCCTCACTGACGTTTTGTTTCTGGCTACACACAGTGTGCAGGTCAGCTGTCATGTGTAATAACGCGGATCTGCTCTGGAGAAAAACTACGCCTCTTCTTCTTCGGCCTTTTTAACACTGTGTCAGTGATGGAAGCTGAACACACACGTTCATGTGGACACGGGGCGAGTACAGTAGGTGGCGCTGTTTGACAGTGATGCGGCTTCTTATAATTCGAAGAAGAAATGCGGCGCTTCTTCTTCCTGTGTGGTGAGTACAGAGGATCGTGTACATGGCACACTGATGTCGGTGTGTGTCACACTCGTGTCCGCTCGCCGTGCCGTGGCGCCGGCATGTTTGTGGGCTGGATGGAGCGGGTGGAGGAAAGCGTGTGCCGGGGGATTGAGGCTGGTCCCGTCCAGAGCCCGCAGCGGGACACGGCCCGGGGCTGCAGGTCAGTGCTGCCGCTGTCAGGACACATCAGACCCGTGCTGAACTCGAGCTTTAAAGCAGCGTTTAACCAGCCGGGTTCAAATGTCTGCCCCGGTGCTTACAGATCGACAGCAGCGATCTGACCTCAGTCTGAACTCAGGTTAATTGTAGCCTACAGAGTATCTGCAGTCAGTTAACGTGTTGCGTGCTGTCAGCAGTAGCTGATGAAAAGGGAGTGACTCAGAGTAGCGTCATAAGAACATGTGGGGAAACAAACAGTTAAAAACGAGCTCTTTGAGGTTTTATCTTTTATTTCCCACAGTATTGAGCCCCCTTCAAATCAATCAACCAATAACACTTACAGGAAGTGAAATCGAGTCTGACTGTGTTGTCTCCCTTCTAAGGGAAGCTGTTGCGGGATGGAGAGGACAGGAAAGCAGTGGTGAGCCTCCATGTTTAATCTGAGTTTGCCCCTCGGTGCATGCTGGGAATGATGTGAATGTTAATGTGGACAGCAGATTCTCATGTGGGACGGATCGTCCATAGTTTTTCAGTGGAAGTGATGAATATTCAGAGACTCACAGCAGTGTCTGACAGTCTGCCTGTACGTTGCTGTGTTCAGATCTGTGTTGAGGGGAACATTGCCAGTGGGAAGACAACATGTCTGGAATATTTCAGCAAAACCAGCAGTATCGAGGTCAGTCAGTCTTTGTGCAGTGTAGCTGTGTGCGTTCAAGATTTCCAGTGTTACCGAGCTCCAAGTATACCATTTGTTCACGAATGTATTCCTCTCTCCTTGCCTCTTTCTTGCAGGTCCTTACAGAGCCAATCTCTAAATGGAGAGATGTCCGAGGGCACAACCCTCTGGTAACGTACATGACCGTGCTGTCAGTGTGCAGAGCTGGAAGGATTCTTCCAAAACATTTTGTGCTTTTATGATGCTGGAGTGTTTAACGCGCCGGTGCTTAACGCGCCGGTGTTTAACGCGCCGGTGTTTAACGCGCCGGTGCTGAACAGTGTTGACTTGGGATGAGATGTGGTGAGTGTAAACACCTGTATACTCCCGCTTCCTCAGGAGTCCGGTCAAGCTTATCAAATGCTCTGGGAATGTGTTGAGTGCTGGTTGGTAGTGTGACTTCCCTGCATGTCAGTCTAGCTGTTCACCTGCAGGTTCTGTCCCCGCAGGCTTTAATGTACCAGGATCCTCAGCGCTGGGGCATCACGCTACAGACCTACGTTCAGCTCACTATGCTGGATCGACACCTGTCAGCTGTGGTAAGTGTCCTGCTAGCTAGCACCACAGCTGGTTTACTCTGTGCTTGTTTTGTTGCATGCTAACACCCATATAGCCTGGGCTAGCACACTGATGGCTGTACGCTGGTTATGCAAACGGATACGCTGGCACACGTGCTGTTTCTTGTTGGTTTCAGGCAGCTCCTGTTAGGATGATGGAGAGATCTCTCTTCAGCGCCAAGTACATCTTTGTGGAGAATCTCTTCAGAAGGTACAGTAATCTGATCCACGGATCATCCACACAGTTTGACCTGAACAACACAGCCCTGCAGCGCTGAAGTAGGAGAGTGTGCAACCTGTGCATGTGATTTATGTACAGACAGAGAGGATGGATTGTTATTTCAGTCAGGCTCAGCATCTGTTCTCATGTCTTTAATGTAAAGGTCGTGTTCAGTCATGCATCATTGTAGCCAAGTCTTACCATGAAATAGTCCAGATGTTGATTTGCAGTAATGGCCAAAGTGCCTCACAGCCGCAGCTATGTAAACAGAGAAGGCAGTTACTTAAAATGTAACATTTCATTTAAAATATGTAACTGTCTCAAATGAATCATCCAACCTGTAACTGAGCATTTCTGACATTTCTGGGAATTTAGAGAGCTGGGGTGGTTCGGGAGGTAGAGACGGTCACCTACTAATCAGAGCGTTGATGGTTTGATCTTTGACTGCTACAGTCTATGGTTGAACCTCCAATGTGTGGAGAGTCCCGGGTATTTAAGCCGTAGTTGGTGTTGTTGACCTGCTAGTGATCATGTGCCAACGTGTGAAATGGGGTGTGGGTCATTATCAGCGGAGGTTCTGGGTGAAATCACTGTGAGACCTTAGAACTGAAGATGCTTCTAAGGTGAGAGCTGAAACGTCTTCAAGACATTTCAAGAAGTCCAGTCGGTTTGCTTTCCAAGCTCGTTAGGTCAGATAGAACCTGTGAATGAGTGAATGAGACATGTTTATAAAGTGCTTTGAGTAGAATTAGAGTTTTATTTCATGTTTTTCTTCCAGTGGGAAAATGCCAGAGGTGGACTATGCTGTTCTCAGCGAGTGGTTTGACTGGATTACAGCTAACATTTGCATTCCTGTTGATCTCATTGGTGAGTCCCACACAAACAAACCTGCTGCAGCTCAGCATCAAGAAACAAAGCACGAATCCTGTGCACGTCTGAATGTACACGATGAGAACTGACCTCTGTCTTTGAGGTTGTGTGTTTATACAAATGGCATTCCTATGTAATGAAATGAGTTCATGTAGTAATAATAATGATACATGTCATATTTGGCTTTTTCCCTGGCTCCAGTTTACCTGCAGACGTCTCCTCAGACCTGCCATGAAAGGTTAAAGCAGCGATGCAGAGAAGAGGAGAAAGTCATTCCACTGGTGAGGAGCTTGTGCTTCACTTCATTGAAGTTTGTCAATTCAAAGGGACACAGACAGCTGCACAGTAGTGCCAATCTAATGACCACTTGAAGTGACCACAAAGCTACTCCAGAGAGTCTGAAAACATTTCCAACTCATGGTGAAAAATCTGAGGTTTGTCAAGGCAAATGGCATTTAACACTTTGTTTGAAACGCGTACAAATGCTGGAGCTCTGCTTCAAAGATGAAGCTGGTTCCTAGAGATGCAACAAAAGGCTAAAGATGTGAGCAGCAGCACACGTCAGCACACGGCTTCCTCCTAGCTCCAGTTTCTGTTCACCTGGGGCTTCACTACATGGACTGCAGTGAGGTGGCATCAATATTTACACCTTACCAGACAACTGCTACTACAAACATACATGACAAGTTTACAGCAGGCGTCCTGTCAATTCAAGTCAGTGTATTTATAAGTATGTTTTTAAACAACAGGTTGACCAAAGTGCTGCACAAACTGGGAAAAAACCCAACAGACAGGTCACAAAAACAAAGAAAAGAGTCACAGTAAGGGAATAAAGATGTGGTGTTAGGGAGGTCCTAATGCGAAAAGGAGAGCGTTCCAAAGTCACGATGTAGCCACCGTAAAGGCCGGCTTGCTCTGTGTTTGAGTCTGCTTCTAGGAACAGCAAGACCTGAAGGCTCTGTTAGGAGTATGTTCAGAGAGGTAAGAGGGAGCCGACCCATTTAGAGACTTAAAAGCAAACAATTAAAGCTTAAAATCAAATCTAAAATTTACTGGAAGCCAAAACTGGGGAAATGCTGTCGCGTTTACATTGCCTGTGAGCAGGTTGGAGAAGAGGGAGCGGAGCCTGGCTGATGCCCAAATAAAGGCCCCAATATTCTGAAACAGCAGAAAAATGTCCAGCAGGAGTGATGATGCAGAGCTCGCGCACAGGTAACAGAGGTTTAACTGGTCAGCACAGAAATTTGAAGTATGACAGTGATCAGAAAAGTGGCTGTAGCTCAGGTGGCAGAGCAGATCAGCCACTAACCAGAAGGTCGGTGGTTTGATCCCAGGCTGCTCCAGTCTGCATGCCAAATATCATTGGGCAAGATACTAACCCCATGTTGCTCTCCGATGCATCCATCGGAGTGTGAATGTCTATGAATGCTAGATACTTAGCACTTAAGCTTAGAAGTGCTTGTGTGAATGAATTAGTTGTATAAAGCGCTTTGAGTGCTCAGAGTAGAAAAGCGCTATATAAGAACCAGGCCATTTACCAAAAGTGCAAATTAGAATATCACATAATTACAGAGCACGAGATAAGACTGAATCCAAAGTACGTCCACGCTTGTGGGAGGGAGCGCCGACTGAACAAGACTAAAACAGTCAGTAAGGTTCAGGACGTCTTTCACAAGAGGTTTAGTGGGGCAGCAAACATGAATCTTAAAATCCCAAAGAATTAGTCGTTCCGGATAAAAAGACCTTAAATAAAATCCTTGTTAAACTGCGGAGCCCATAAATATCAGCAGTGAGCTGTCTCTCAGGTGTGTGTGTGTGTGT